TTGCTTGATTTTTTGGTTACTTGCAGTCAAGTTTTTGTTTGAAACAGAGTAAAAACAAGAGGGAAAGGGTATAGAGATAACTCTTGAAGTTTTCTTCAAGTTGGTTTAAAGAAAGTGGTAAGACTATATTAATGCAAAAATATAAAACTTCTTGTGAAAGTCTTTTTTATGTGTGATCAGAGGATCAGCAGAAAAAGTCTGTGAAAAAAAGTATATAAAGTTTTTATTTCATTTAAATAATATTTAATTAGATTGAGTTCAATAAAATAGATTAGTTTTATATTTAAAAAAATTATAAATAATAATAATGATATTTATTTATTTATTTTATTATTTATTATTTATATATTTTTTTAATAATTTTATTCTAATTAAAAATTTACTTTATTATTTATGTAAATAAGTATTAATTTATTTTTAAATATATTTAATTAATATATTTATATTTATTTTTTTATTTTTTTAACCTGCAATTATATTATAATGGTTTGTCTTTATTGTAAAATTAAAATAAAATCTATAATAGTTTACAAACTTTCACAAAGTAACTAACTTATCTTCATATATAAGTATTCCAAATTAGATTTTGAGAACAATATTGTACTCCTCTAATAAATTGACAATGATCTATATCTATTATAATTATTATTAATAGTTTGTTATATTGATTGTCCTGAAAATCAATAAATTAAAGTTAAAAAAAAAAAAGGAAAAAATTGATTAGGGGAAAAAAACAATTCAAGGTCTACTAAAAAAATTTAAAAATAATAACAATATTTTTTCAAAAAGAATTTGTTTGATTGGAATAGCCTTTTTATTTTACTTGAATCTTGAAAAAAATCTTCTTTTTTACTGTTTGCAATATTAAACAAATTAATCCAACTAGTCTTTTATTTAAGTAAGTATTAAATTAAAATATTTCAAAGAAAGTATTTGGATCTTATCTTATTTCTATTAAAGCTTTATTACTACCTAAAAAACTTAAATAAGAGATAGGAGTTTGTAATTCACATTACCTACTGTATTACTTGATTTTTTGATATTATAAAAGTTTTTATTAAAAAATTCGAACTTTTGAGAACTAACATTTTTGTAATATTTTTTTAATTACCAATAATAGTATCAAAATACATAAATGTGATCAATAAAAACTTGATTATATTTCAAAAACTAATATATTTTATATTATCCAATTACTTTTAATGAAAATTTATGCTATTCAAAATTTAAGATAAACTATAGTTGACAAAATTCTCTAGAAAACTATGAAATAGAAAACTTTAAGAGAATCAATATAATCAAAAAGAGAGAAAATAAGTTTTTTACTACAAAAAATCTCTATAAATCTCTTATTTCAAAGATTAGATAAGCCTTTAGGTACTTTATAATCAGTTCTTCTTTCTTTGAGAACTTTTCTACCATTAGTATCAAAGGTATTACTTGACTTTTCTTAATTATTAAAAGTCAAGCTTTTAAGTAAAAAGATTTATAAATAAAAGGAAAAGGATAAAAGTAACTCTTGAAATCATACTTCAAGTTGTTTTAAAAAAGTATTAAGATTTTATTAGTAAAGAAGTATAAAAACTTTTTGTAAAGATCTTTTTAGTATATGATCAGAGGATTAGTAAAAAGAGTTTTTTATTGGTTTTTAATATTTTATCTTTATATTATCTTTATTTAATTTATTATAAATAGATTATTTTTTATTGTATACATATAGTGTTAGATTATTTAATTTTTAAGTATATTTATATTTTTTAAAATCTTAATATATTAAGGTTTACTTAATTTAAAAATTTTTTATCTTAAAAAAACTTTAATTTTTATTAATTTGATTATAAATTTAACAAAGCTGATATTGACTTTTTTAATTATAAATTAGTTTTTTTTTTTTTTTTAATTGTCAGCACATTATATTTATTAGCATTAATAAAGACAAATTTAAAATTACATTGAAAGTATCATAGATATTATAAGGGTTAATAAACTACCTAAAACTAAACAGTTTAGTGGATTGCTTTTTGCTACTTCACCAAGGAGAAGAGAACTAGTCTAAGGTTATCTTTTGGCTAATGCAGTAAATAATAAAAGAAATAAAATAGATGCTGTTATGCAAGAACCAAAGATTTTTCTACTACTGACTATACACTGAGACTAATTTCAAGGAAATTTAACATATACAAATTATTCACCGAAGTGCTGTGTCTTTTCATCTTTGAAAGAGAGAGGGGATATTTTTCTTCCGGCTAGAGAGGGATATGGTTTCAGATACCAGCTTTATTGATATTATCTCATTTGATACTTTGCCTAGGGGTTTACTTGTCCAAAAATCAGGTGGGACCTATGGCTAGAAGGGACCTTAAAACTATGATAGGTTGACAACCTAGTCCTAGAGATAATGCCAGCTTCAAGCATAAGCTACTTATTTAAGAAGACGCAACTCTTCTAAAGTTAGATTAAGTCTCTAGGGGGTCTTTCAATCTGGCAGTCATTTTCAACTCGTACTTTTACAAAGAGTAAGATTGATGGATGCTACTAGCAACCTAAATAGTTATGCTGGAGTGGGGTCATGTTAAGAATCTTGATATAAGATATTGGTTATGATCCTTCTTTTTGTAGGGCCTGTTATATCTCTTAGTCCTATTTGTTTCTTGTTCTGAACTTAGTTTTGTGTCCTGGGTATTGTGCTTTCTTGAGAGCTTGTAATGTTCTTTCAACATCGCATTATACTAAATTTGTCTTATTGTAAGTATGTTAGGTTACTTCTATCAATACACGAGTCCTCTTATTCCTGAGTCTGTTCTTTCTCTCTCTTTCCCTTCTTCCGTAATGTAGGAGATGACTGTGTCCTGTATCCACCTGCATAAAAGCTATATAACTTACAGTGGATCTCAGGTTCATATAGAGCTGAGGAAATGCATTCAGACATATGAGGTGGCCAATGGGAGCTTGTTTATCAATCTGATCCAACGTGTTTTGTATCTACCAATCATAATTAGTGAAATTTGTGCTACTCTAGAATTCAGGGTCAAACTGGGATAGGCAAAATTCTCCAGAAAGCCATGAAGTGGGAGCTCTTAGAGGCCAAAAGATTGAGTTAAGGGAAAATTATAAGTTCTTGACTGGCACAAAACCTCTATTATATCTTGTCTTGTTCTTTCGCTTCAAAATAGTGGTAACAGGTACTACACCAGTAGTCCTTCTTCCTTTAGTAACTTTCTTGTCATCAGTAGTAAGGGTATGAACTAAATTTTATGGGTCACAAGAGTTCAGTTTACTCGAAGTTAATTGTAAACAAGAGGGGGTATGGGTGACTTCTAAAGATTCCCTTCAGGTTGGATTAAGGAGAGTGTTAAGACTTTATTAGCATATAAGTATTAAAACTTCTTGTGAACATCTTTTTTATGTGTAGTCAGAGGATCAGCAGAAAGAATTTTTTGTAATTATAAATTAGTTTAATATTTTTTTTTTATTTTTTTTTAAATTTGAAAAAAAAATTAATATATTGATCTTTTCTATTAATATTATAGAAGTTATTTATACAGTATAGTATAATAAAACCCGGTGAAATTTATTAAAATAATATTTTATTTTGCTTAAGAATCAGTTTATTTTTTTTTTCAATAATATTATCAAAAAGATTTAAAAAAAGAATCAATAAAGAGTATTTTTTTTAGTAATAATAATATTGATTATTTTATTACTTATTTAATAAAGATACTATAATAACATAATTGTAAGTTATATAAATATAAAAATAAAATTTTTATTTAATATTCGTTTCCAATTTTAAAAAATAAAGTCACACGAATAATTTGTTCACGTTACGCGTGCACTACATACATCTTTGGGCGTTTCTGCATAATCATCGTTCCTTGACTACAAATCAACCATTAAAAACAATAAAAAGCATAATTTGTTGATGGGTTCAGATAATTAGATGAGATTTATAAAAAGAAATCTTCTATTGTTGTAGAGATTACAGAGATTGCAAATGTTGGGTAATCAACGCAATCATTTAAATGGCGCAACAATGCCTTAAGCGGATTTATATCACATGATTTAATTCAGTGACCAGTTGATAACGCAATATTCATCATTTATTGCTAACAATCTGTTAACTATGGCGATCAACTTCTGATGATATATTAAAAGATTTATTTCTCACATAAATGAAATTCTTTTTTACGAAAAAAGTAAACAGCTTGTTTATTTTGTTTATTTTGAAAGTCGGACTATGAACCGAGAAGGAATAATTGAATCTTCCACTTTACGTGATCACGAAGAACGGCCAAATTATGGTGCAATAAAATTTGGTCGGTTATCATTTGAATTTTATTTGTATAGGGACGTTATCCAAATTATCCGAATTTAGTAGCTTACATTCTTATTAAATCTAGCAACAAACGATGGTTTCGTCGAAGTTATCGATGAAAATGAACATAAAGGATCGAATTGGTCCGCTTATATTAATATCGTGTAGGTTCACGCTATATGTATATGATGCACTATCGAAATTGAGGAATTTACATTCTTATTGTGGAATTTCAGATGTTTACTTGCTGGATCAGGAACCCTTGGAATTCCCTATGCTATCCGGCAAGGCGGGTGGTCGTCGGTGATTGTTCTATTACTCTCTGCGATAATGTCGGTCTACGCGAATATAAAGATGATCGAATGTTTATATCACAATGAGTAAGTACTGTACCGGTATTGTCACGTGATAATGGAGTTGATATTCTTCTAATTTTTTCATTTATAGAAAGATGAGAAGAACTTCTATGTCAGATTTAGCCAGTGATGCATTTGGAAAAGTTGGACTTTATGTGATTGGATTCTTTTCTAATGCTATTACTCTAGGATGCCCTATTCTATACCTTGTTTTAGCCGGAGATAATTTCCATTCGTTATTTAGCAACATTGGAATTAATATTGAAGTGAAATATTGGATTTATATTTGTGGTGCAATTATGTGTGTTCCCTTTGTTTTATTGAAAACGATGAGAGAAGCTGTTTGGCTAAGGTTGGTCACGTGTTTGGTCTCATGCCCCAATTTTCCATTCTAATTTATAATTTTTGTAGTGTGTTTGGAGCATTAACGACAGTATTTGTCGTGTTAGTCGTATCCTTCATCTCGGTTAACGAATATTCCAAGAATTCACAGAATCAACACGATCTCTATAACATTAGAGATATTCCTTTAGCTTTGGCTACTTTTAGTTTCAGCTATGGGGGTAATGGTATCTATCCTCATGTGGAAGCTAGGTGAATTATGTAAAATGTTTGCCTATACGTATTATACGAATGATTCTCATTTATTATATTTACTGTATATATTTTTCACAATAGCATGAAATATCCACGTGATTGGTCAAAAGTCCTAAACCTTGCTACACTCACTGTTACAATTATGTATTTATTAATCGGCATTCCCGCTTACCTTACATATGGTCAGACCACTCTCTCGCCCATCTATCTTAATCTCCCCCCGGGGTTTGCTGTAAACATATCCATATTAATGATCACCGTTCATGTTCTACTTGCCTTGCCAATCTATCAAACGGCATTTGCCCTAGAAATCGAAAACTATATCGGCATTAATGTGTCAAACTTGGGTAAAGTCAGGGAATTTATATGCCGAGCGCTATTTCGGTCATTTACTGTTTTATTCACCGTCTACGTTGCAGTTACTTTGCCCTATTTCTCCGATCTTATGGCATTATTGGGATCAATGGGAAATGGAATTCTAATAAGTATCATGCCAATTATGTTTTGGATAAGATTGTTTGGATGGAGTCGATTGAACGGATGGAAAGAAAAATCGTGGGTGATTTTCACGTTAACTTTTGCGTTCCTTGGAGCGATTACCGGCACTTTGGACGCTTTAAATGCATTGTGGAAAGATATTAATCGTGACCCTCTTTGAACTTACTTGTAATTGTGAAAGTGTGAAAAAGTCCGTGGACTATTATTAATTCAAGGACTATAAATATAATATTTTGCGTTTAAAGTATTAATTTAATTATTTAATTAAAAAGATTATGTATTCGATATAAATAAAATGAGATAGATAAAGAAATTAAAAAAAAACTTTATCGAAAATTACTAAAATTTGATATTTAAAAATATAGATGATAATGCGAATATCATCGAGGCAATGTTTGGTCCCGTTTTAGTGAATTCTTTCGTTATAACATTTGTTTTCTTGTTCCAATGACAATGCTCGCAAGCATACGTAGCCTTTTCGAGTACCCTGATTAAATACCCAAAAGTAATATTAAAACTTTATAGGCATTTTGATATTTTAAACACTATATAAAAATTTAATTCAAATTACAAATACAGTGGTTAGCAAAAGTTTGGAATCATCCATTGTGTTTTATAATAAATTTCAACTTTAACAATTTAAAAATTCCATATTTTTTTTTAATGCTGACACAGCCTTGTTTTATTTGTATACATATATGCAACATCATTACATTGAGTATTACCCTAAATTATACTACCTGTTTTTTACTAAATAAAACTCAATAGAGGGTCTTCAGTTTTGATTTCATAATTTACTTGTTTTTCTTTCTTTTTTAGTAATGCTAATGTTTGCTTTTCATTTCTGAAAGGTTTTGCATCTCTCTATCCAGATCTTGTAATGGTATCTAATGGTATTAATATTTATTATGGGGATACAACTTTTCCTGACTAATCTATCTAAAATGATTATATTGATATTGTGCACAAGTTCTTTGAAGATTGCTTTTTTAATACTTGTTACCAAGTATTCTTTAATATTTTTATACGATTTGTTATTGTACTAATTAAAAATTTTTCTGTTATCAATTTGGGTTAATTGCAAAGAAAGGAATATATTAATCTCTTATTTATTGCATCTGATACTGTATATATATTATTTCTTATAAGGATAGAGATTTTGTGTATAGTTTGCTCTTAATAGATAACATATTGTTTTAAATGCTAAGATAGAACTTTTTTAATTTTTGATGTTCTTAGTCTATATAGTAATCACTTATTTAGATTAGTTGCAAGTAGATAATAGTTATTAACTAATTATTTTTTTGATAACTCTTTCACTATAGTTATATTCTATTCTATTAAATAATTTTTATTTAGTTTAATAAATCTTTTGAATCAATTTTTACATAATTATCTTAAATGATATTTTAATAAAAATGTTTTATTATGATATTATTTTATAAGTTAAATTTTAGATTTTTAATATTTTAATTATTTTCTTATATGATTTATATCTTTTTACATATTAATTTATGCTAACTATTTTACTATTTCATTATATTTAATTTTGAAATATCTTACTTTATTAAGAAATAATTTTATATAATTATATTTACATATAATGTATTTTTAATTTGAAGTGAAAAATTGGAATTTTTCTAAGTTTTAATAACTTTTTCTATATTTTCTTGATTTTTTTGAATTCTATTAATTATTGCTTGATTATAACATATTTAATATCAGAAAGTTATTTTATTATATATACAGTATCTTAATTAAAAAAAAACTTTATTAAATATAAATAAAAAAACAAACAACTCTGAATTATTAATAAAGATAATATCAAGAGATAACTGAGATAAATAATTATTTATACTACCAAAAATTTATAAATCATTAAATAGTATAAAAAATAAACTATTTATATCTTATTTAATTAGAATAGAATAACTATATAATTGTTTGATATAAGTATTTCTCTTTACTATAACAAACTAACTAAAAAAAGAAAACCTAAACCTGAATATGATACAGTACTCTTTAGGGCTTAAGCCTACTAAATAGTTTATTCTTATTTTCTAAAAAGAAGAACCAATATATTAAGAATTCATTTGAAGTATCAACACTACTAATGTTGAAAATTCTTCATATAAAACTTTAATACCACTAGTATTAAAATCAAAAATTTTAAAAAGAGAAAAGATATACAAATCTAATTATAATAACATTAATTATTAATTGACAATATTATCATTTTATAATGAAAAAGTGAGTATATAAAAATCTTCCAAAAAATAATATTCAGATTATCAAATTATAACTGTAGATAAAAGAGACAGAAGAGATTTTTGTTATCTATCCAATATATTCTATTTTAATTTATTTTTTTTTTTAATATTTGTTGATATATGAGGTTACATATTCTATATTTATTTATACCAAAATACAAATAGCTTATAATATTCTTATAGATATTAAGAAAATCTATTTAGATATGTAAGATATCCAATAAGAGCTTGTTTACTTTTATTACTAATATAAGTTTTATCTGTTTAATTATAGTATAAGAAATTATATATTACTTAAGATTTAAGATCAAACTAATATAGGTAAAATTTTTTAGAAAAAATCTAAAAATAAATATTATTAGAGTATAGATAGTAATAAGAGAGTAGAAAAGTTGTCTCTTGTAATCAAAACCACTTTGAGCTATTTTTCTATAATATAAAATAGTTGTAATTTAGTTCTTATTTCTTTTAAAACTTTTTTACCATTGATAAAAAAAGTATAACTTGATTTTTCAATAATTGACAGTCAAGTTTTTGTTTAAAAGTAAAATATTAATAAGAGAAAAAACAAGTAGAAATAACTCTTGAAGTTTTTTTTAAGTTGGTTTAAGAAAATTAATAGACTTTTATTAGTATAGAAATATAAAAACTTCTTGTAAACATCTTTTTTATATATGATTAAAGAATCAACAAAAAAAGTTATATTAAATTTTTTTTTAAACCTGTAGTCAGGCCAGTACTTATGTATTTATTAATCATTATAAAAACTAATAAGAATATATAGAGCAATTGCATTATGGCTAAACTAAATTTTATACTAATACATTTGTTAATGGCTTTTAATTTTAAAAAAAGTTTCAGCCTTTAAGTACAATCTGGAGACAATATTTTGCTCTATAATAGTTTTTGAATGAATACTTTCCTAATTTATCTATCATTACTAACAAATTAATTCTACATTTTATTCTTCAAGAAACTAATTTCAAGAAATTATAAAGGAAAAGGAAAAGAAAAAAGAAAGAAAAAATATCTAAAAATGCATAAACATGCTATATAAAAATAAAAAATAAAAATAAAAGCACTTCATGTTTTCCAAAGGACTTCTGCTGGAAACCTCTTCTCATTAAAAGTCAACTTTTCTAAGATATTTTTCTTTTTTCTAATCATTTAAGAAACTTATTTATTTATAATTTTGATTATTTTTTATAATTATCTAAGATACTTATCACCTACTCAGATCCAGTATCTTGTTCAATACTTTCTTTCTTTTGATTTTAATTTTGTATTCATCTGTATAGAAAAAAATAGTTAATAGTAGATCTCAGATTCTTATATAGCTTTTTAGTCATATTATATAACTCATGATATCTTTTAGCAGTCATATTTAGTTAAAGAAATTTTACTGATATTTGTCTCAATTGTGATATTATTATATAATATCTGAAAAAATATATTCTCAATTCTAAATAAGGGTAGTATCTTATATCCCTCTGCTTTTCAGTTTTACAGTCTAATCAGGATTAGAAAATAATCACCTTTATGTACTTTGCCTTACCAGAATAATAAGAAGTTGAAGACTTAGTTTGAATAAATAATTATCTTTTTATTACTTAGAGAATTTAGTGTCCATTCTAATGGCCTTATGATTTCTTTACTTAAATTATACTTTATTTGAAGAAGTAAAAAAGTTTATATCATTGATTTCTCTTTCTTTTATCAATAATGGTATCAAAATATATTATGTAACTAGTAGAAGCTATTTACATTCTGCTATCAATTTGTTTTGTATTAAACAATCACCTTTAGCAAAAGTTATATCAATTTTGTATCACTTTAAAATTTAGGGTTTAACTGGAATAAGCAAATTCTTCAAAACTCTAAAAATTGAGTGACTCTAAGAGAAAAACAATAGTTGAGAGATAAGTTTTCATATTTAGGTTTTTGTTCAATTATTTATCTACTGCAAAACACTCTAGTTATATTCTTGCTTCAGAAAATAGATTTTCAATACTTTACTATTGGTTTTCTTCCTTTTAAAACTTTCTTGCCATAGATAAAAAAGATGTTTTATGACTTTTCTTAATTACTGGAAGTCAAGTTTTTGTTTAAAAAGAAATATAAACAAAAAAGAAAGGTGAAGAAGAACTCTTGAAATTATCTTTCAAATTGTTTTAAAGAAAGTAATAAGACTTTATTAGTTCAAAAGTATAAAACTTTTTTGTGAATACTTTTTTTGTATATTGTTAAGGGATAAGTGAAATGAGTTTTTTTTTATAAAAAAAATTGTGTTCAATTATATAACAATTAATATATACTGTATATAAAGATAGATTCCTAAAGTCTAATATTAGTGTATGTCTTATAATTGAAAGTTTTATAATCAAAAAGGATTTATGTCCCCTCTAGACTTTAGGTTAGAGGACATAATTATATAATTAAAAATTAAATTTTTATGATCAAAAATCAATTTATAACTGATTGGCAATTTTTTATAATTAAAGGTCAATTTTTTATAATCAAAAATCAATTTTATAACTAAAAGTCAATTTAATAAACGAAACTAAGGACATAAGTAATTTGATAACTGAAAATAAGAACATAATATACAAATTTTAATCAAAAGATCTACTTTAAAAAATTTCTGATTAATTATTATACTGTATATTTATTTATAGTAATATGAGATTTTATTTATTTTTGTCATCTTTTTTTTAAAAAAAAATTTTTTTTTAAAGATGTCTTTTTCTTCATAGATCAAATAGTTCAGTTTGAAATCATATTAAAAAAGATAAACAAAAAAGTAATAGATATTATCAAGTTACTTATAATTATTGTAAAAAATTTTAGGAAAATGGAAAATCACAAAAACCTAATCAGCATTTAATAAATA